GCTTGTGTTTCTGATAGTGCAGCTTGCTCTGCACTGGCTGTGGACAGGTCACAGCATGCCTGTAATTATATATCATATAAACACCTTACAGCAGTAGTTTCTATAGGCAGGGTTCCAGGAACAATCTGGGTTTGTTCTAAATAGCAAATACAATGGCACTGCAAAGTGTGGGAAACAGTGCAGAACATCCATAAAAACACTTATGCTCCTTGCAATATCATTTGCTTGTTACTCACATAATACAAGAAAAAAATTAATTAATTGGAGTGTTAGGAAGGGATTGCAGATAACTGCTTTGCCACATTTGTAGTCTGAAGATAAGACCAGCTTCACTCGCAAAATTTTTACTGTCACTGCTTGGCAGGGATGCAATGGAGAGAGAGGTTAATCAGCTGTTCTGTAAAATTATGGAATAAAGCGTTCTGGAGAAAAACAGGGGATAGAGACGGTTAGGAACAGTTAGTGCACCACTTGGCATTTCAGTATACCAAAGGGTGATGGCAATGTGTRTAAAATATGTAGAAGTTTTTGGTATGGTCAAAACTCGGAGCTATTTGCAGCTATTGTAACTACATTTAATTTTTTATGCTAAGAATTTATTTTCTCTGTTGCAAGGTGGCTCTCGGAACTTGGATATTAACTAATGTGATATCTTCACCTTTAAGAGTAAAAATACAAGTTTTTATAATGTGTCCCCTCAGCTTATTATTTTTAGCCACTTAAAAATCCAGTTGGAGCATAAAAGATACCTTTCTTTCCAAAGGAAAGAAGTCGTCTCAATATACTCGGGAGGATTTCCTAACCAGAAATATGGATATTGCCAGTGGGTTTTGAGCTTGTTAGAAGTGGCTTACTGAAAAACACGCAAAACCTCACCATGAAAGACAACCATAACATGATGCTGTAGGGAATGAGAACATGAGCAAGAGGAAAAAGTGCATCTTCATGTCGCCCTTGTTGATATGGAAGCAGCATTTGTCACTTGGGGACACGGTTTCAGTGCCGCCGTAGCGGATAGTTGACCGTGAACCACAGAGGTCCGGGTGAACTCGAAAGGCTCCAACAGGAGGTCAGGGCTTGGTTGGCCACAGGGCCACGTAAAAGCAGGTACAAAACCTGCAGTAGGATCTGCTGAGGTCCATGGGCTCATCCTCTCTTTTCCAGTCTGGGAAATTCTTTCAAAATTTCATCTCCTGAAAGGATTATTTCCTGAAATGAACTCTATCAAAGCTGAATAAATATGTTAATTCAATTACRTTCCTTTTACAGCTTTATTTATTATTATTATTTTTTAATCAAAAGTCAGTTTTAATCAAAAGATCTGGGGTGACAGGGTTTAAAACACCCATTTATTAGGAGTTTACCTTTTAATTACTGTACTGTAGTAGAAAGGAACTTGTGAACCWAATCCAGTTTCTTATGTAGGAAAGGAAAATGGTGTAAAATCAGAGAATAAAGTTCAAGAACACAGAATCACGTGCTGATTCTCATTCTGGAGCTGCACCTGCAATACAGTGCTTTGTGAGGAATCATCTAACATCCCTTTACTTTAGTTCATCTTCCATATGGTACAAAGTGGCAAATTTTTATGGAAGTGTGTTTTTATGGAATTTTTATGGAAGTTTTTTCCTAAAAAGGGGGAAAAAGAAAATTCACATCTTTGCATGGATACACAGATACAATCTATTGGCAGAGTATTGTTATTTCATTTAGCAAGTAGGCACTACTGACTTACTTGCAAATTTTTCCCTTAAAGACAGGACTCTACCTGCATATTTCCATTAAACACTTTGGACAGTACTTACTGGCTGGAACACCTTCCTGGTAGCAGCTTTCAGAAAGAGAGGGCATGTGATCTTGGCTTGCTCTCATAATAACCTTGGTGATGATCCTTATCGTTCTCCTTATTGCTATTATTATTATTATATAGCTGATAAAACGTCACACCACTTGGAAATAAATGTTATGTTTAATTACAATAGAAGGGCAGCTGCTAGGTGTAATAAAGACTGTTCTTTATTCTCCTGTCTTTGAAGCTTGACTCCACCCTACAAAGTACCTTCTTCCTGATATATATCCATAATTTTCCCTCCTAAATGCTTGCACAAGATTTGTGTGTATTATCATCCATTCAAAAACAACACAGAGATTAGAGATCTGTTTGAAATCTGAGTCACAGTAAAACTGTCTAGTCACTTATATTTCCCAATTGTGCTAAGATAACTCTGAAAATACTTACATTTCTCCTCTAATCTGCAATGTAACATAGACAGCAATGTGTGTTCTATTTTTCTAGTGTTGCCAGGGTATAARCATTTGAATTATGAAATTAAATTACTTTCAGAGATCTTACTAACATTAGCCAGTTCATTTATGTGTTAAATTGCCTTGTTTTCTAAATTTTATACTATTTTGTTTTGTGTATAATTTTTTAAGATTTTCTTTC